ATGGACAATAAATAAATAATAAGGAAGACAGTAGAAGAATTGATGCATTTGAATTAGGGTATTGAAGGAGAATATTAAAAGTACCATTGTCTGCCAAAAGAGGAAACAAATCTGTGTTGGAAGATGTAAAGCTAGAATGCTCCTTAGAAGCCAGAGTGGCCAAGGTTCGTCACTCATATTTTGGACATATTATAAGGAGGGACTAGTCCCTGAAGAGGTACATGGTGATTGGTAAAGTGGAGGTTTGGCTAGAAAGAGAAAGAACCCCAACAAATGGATTGGCATAGTGACAGCAGCAATGGACTCAAATGTAGCAACAATTGTAAGGTTGGTGCAGGACTGGGCAGTGTTTGATTCTGTTGTGCATAAGGTAGATATATGCGTCAGTAGTGACTCAACTGCACCCAATAACAACAGTTTTTTCAAGTAGTTTATCAGGCTTTTCTTCCTGGTCATAATCATAAGGCTCTGCTGAAACTTGGCCACCATTGGGACACTGCTGGTATTTGAAATACTGATGACATGACATCTAACATCAAAGCAACATGCAAACCTAGGGAGGGACATTTGTGAAAAAGAAAAGTTCATCGCCTCTTCACTTTTCTATTTCATGTTTGGCATTTCCATGGTTCCAAAATATAAGCCACTCTACTCCCACTTGCCCCTTGGAATGGGTACCAACAAAGTTGTTTTCTGGGAGATTTTTAACTATTCACAATTTCCTTAGTACTGCTTACAGTTGCTTTCATTTTTCCAATGACTGCTCTACCAACAGCCTCAGAAACTACAATGTTTGAAGCCACCACAGTTTTTAAAGGAATATATTTAAACATCTGCTTTATGTTGTTGTTATTGTGCCGTGGAGTCGGTTCCCACTCATAGCGACCCTGTACAGTGTTTCTGAGGTCGTAAATCTTAATGGGAGCAGAAAGTCTGATCTTTCTCCTGCAGAACAGCTGGTAGTTTCGAACTGTCGACCTTGCTGTTCACAGCCCGATTCGTAACCACTACGCTACCAGAGCTCCTTTATAATGACAGAGGTGCTTTATAAATGAGCTTAAAACCAATTTCAATTTCATCACAAATGAAAGATCTCGTATTTTGAACATTTCAATTAGTTATGATGCCTTGAGGCATCAATATGGGAACAGATATATGGGAAGATGTAGTTTAGAAAGCAAGAAAGATAGAAAATATATGATTTTCATATTTTTCAATTTTGAGAATGTTATTTTGTGTCTTACGAATTTTTTTTGCCCAAAATTGAGAAAGAATGGAATTTTTATCATTGAAATTAAAAAAAATAGATTCGATGAGGGACTTGGGGATTTAATTAATAGTACTTTTTCTCTTCCATGGGTTCATAACAAGACAGACTGCTCTAGTGACAGTATTTAAATATACAAATTATTTCAAATGAAAAATACAATGAAGTCTTCCCCCCCCCCCAAAGAGAAAATTCAACTTACACAGCTACAACAGAAGAACATTGACCTTTATATACTGTATATAGGAATGACCTCCAGCTATTCTTGATCCTCATCTTGGGACAGAATAAAGCTTCCCTACTAGCTTTACAAAATACACGTTTTGCTCTGCCAGGCAGCCTGTATCTTGCTGAAATATGATTGCCACTATTACAGTGGCCTTAATCAAAGAAAAACACAGAAAATTGTCTTTAAAGTGGTCAGTAGAGACAGTGTCAGAGCCATTGATGAAGGCTTACTACCAGTGAGAAAATAATTAGAGAAGATTGTGGCTCAAGTTATGCTTGGATGAGCTGCTGGAGTCGAGAATATTTTAAAGAACTAAAAGTGACCACACTGTAACTGATCAAAAGAAGAACTGAATATCCTAAGAGAAAACTAAGGAATTGTAGCCATTTGATATATTAGATGGACAATTATCTGCTTTTATTCATTAGAAATTTAAATTATGTGTTTTAAATACATAGGTTTCTTTGAAGTAATTTTTTTTTTTACCTGGGAAAACAAAAAATCAACAAGGCACACTAGTTTGCGTGTATGCCTAAAGTTGACCATGCTCCATTTTTAGCTATAATCTCTGCAAGTGGAATGCTTATGTGTGGGGATGGGGTGGTGTGAATGATCCTCTTAGCACTATTATGCTGTAGTTATTTTGTAACCTGTCATTACAGTGAACTTCCAATTAATGTGACAGATGGTACTTGTGCATTAAACGCTGGCAGTCCTCGCTGCAGTAAACACAACCGCCTCTGCATTCTCCGAGTTGTGAGGAAGGATGGTGAAAACAAGGGCAGACAATTTTTTGCTTGTCCTCTACCTAGGGAAACACAATGTGGATTTTTTGAAGTACGTATAAGATTTGTCAACCTTAAAAACCCACTGCTGTTAAGTTGATTCCAATTCACAGTGACCCTATTGGATGGAACAGAACTGCCCCGTAGGATTTCCAAAGCTGTAATCTTTACAGAAGCAAATTGCTACTGCTTTCTTCCCTAGAGCGGCTCGTGGAGTCGAACTGCTAACCTGTAGTTAGCCACTGAGCACTTAACTAATGAGCTACAAGATATCCTCTTGCTGAATTTGTTGTTGTTGTTAGTTACCTGTATAGGGTTTCTGAGGAGTGGCTGGTGGGTCTGAACTGCTGACCTTGTAGTTAGTAGCCCAGTGCTTATCCTACAGCACCACACCTTACTGTAGTGTAGTTGAATAGTTTGGCTGAAATGTAACAAATAATAATCTTTTTCCAATATTATCTTTAAATGTTAAATCGCCACACTGGTATTTAAAATAAAAATGATTAATAGCTTAAAATTTAAAGAGCTTCAGGGGGGAAAAAAATCATAAAAACACACAAGTATAGAAGTGTTATCCTAGATTTATAAAGACATAAAGGTACTGACACAACTTACCCATATGGCTAATAATCCAGATAAGAGTGTGTTCTACCTAGCATCAGTGCTATATCCAAACCCTTGTATGTGTTGAGTAGAAATACAAAAGAAAAATAATTTATATCCTCTAGATTTACAATAAGCCTAAGTGAATCCTTCTACACACACTTGTCATAAACAAGTGACACAATAACAATTTAGCTACAGGCTCATCCTCATGCATTCCCAGTCTGTGGTTGTATTCTTGAAAATGAATGTAGAATAAGATGAGTTAGGAGTCCCTTTAGTCAGCTCATTTTCTGCATTTTTCAGTGTGAGCATAGCCATGCTGAGTGTGATGCCAATGTTTAAAGATGCATTATTTTTCCAATTGCTTCATCTAGTGCTTATCTGGAATATGTATATATTCCAAAGTTTTCTGGTTAGCTTTATTAAGAGATAAATTGTCTTCAACCTGGTGCCTTCCTAAGTAGTTTCTCCAAGAAAATTTGATGATGGTTTTCGATTTTAAGCCTTATACAAGTTATGACTCCAACCTACAAAACTCACCAGGTTATTCTTCAAGAGCTTTTATAGATGTAATGGAAATAATATTATCAGCATTACTGATACAATCACAGTCTTCATCATACCTCTTATGACCAAAATTAAACAAATAATACAATAGAAACTACCTAATTTAGCCTGGATAAGTCTGAATTATTTCTTTTCCTGTGAGACAAAGGGAGTTTAGTATGACATCATGGAAAATCTTTGATCGTATAGTTTCAACTAAAACAAGCTACAGCAGGGACACTAGTGGTTGTGTTACATCAGGATTCTAGTAACTTTCTGAGTGAAGTAACTTCTCGTTCCCATGCCTATAAGATAAAGGGAAACTTCAAATTAGGACAATTCTCTATGTAATTCAAACAGATTTTTAAGAGATGTTTCTTCTGGGATATAAGCTTTTTTTAAGGGCAGCAGCTAATGGTCATATCTATTTTACAATGTCAAATTAATAGTAACATCAGGGAAGACAATATGGCACTGATCAAAGGAGCCCAGGCTTAGCTTATACATCATTCTAACTTCTATATCAGCTTTATAATCTTGTCGTCTTGCTTTTTTTCCCTAGTGGGCAGATTTGTCCTTCCCATTCTGCAACCATGGCAAGCGCTCCATCATGAGAACAGTGCTGAAGATTGGACCTAACAATGGAAGGAATTTTTTTGTGTGTCCTCTTGGGAAGGAAAAACAGTGCAATTTTTTTCAATGGGCAGAAAATGGACCAGGAATAAAAATTATTCCAGGATGCTAATACTTTTTACTTCTCTAAAATATCTGGCATTTAGTCTCCTTAAGCTGTGTTTAATGTTTAGTGCCCTTTGTTTAGTAGAAAGATTATATCTGAGAATTTTTATTCTATATATATTTTTTCAATTTTTTAATGCCTGTTATCTTTACAATCTCTAGCTACATTACTTTTTAATCTTGAAAGACCATACATTTTTTAAATTTGATAGAGTTTCATCAAATGTGCAGCATATTCCACTTAGAATTTATATTCTATGTATTTAGTAATGATAATAAAATATTTTAATATGTTCTTCATCTCTTTGGGGGAAAGCCATGGTTTTCATTTGTTTTTTAAGAGAAGCTTAAGCCATGTAATAATATGTTATGCCATCTGGTCCCTGGGTGTTGCAAACACTTATCTTTCAACTACTAAACTAAAGATTGGTAGTGCCGAAAAATCATAAAAAAAAAGAATGAAAAAATCAGAAGAAAGCCTAAGATTCATGTGGGACAACCTGAAGAGGAATTACCTACTGGTGATTGAAATTCCAGAACAAGAAGAGACTAAACCACATAAAAAATAGTCAAAGACCTGCTGGAAGATAGTTTCTGTAGCGCCATGGAAAATGAGATATAAATATTTAATAAGCTGAATGAACCCCACAGGATGTACCCCAAAAGAAAATCACCAAGACAAACCCAAAATCAAAGACAAGGAAAGAATCCTGAAAGCAGCTTGGGAAAATGAAATGTTACCTACAAAGAAAAACCAATATGATTAAGTTCTGACATCTCAGCAGAAACAACACAGGCAAGAAGACAATAGGGAAACTTACACATAACTCTGAAAGAAAATCACTGCCAACCAAGTATCAAATACCTATCAAACTGTCCCTCAAATATGGTGGAAAAATTAGAACAATTTCAAATGAGCAAAAATTAAACACCAACCCAACTTTATAAAAAGCAAATAATAATAGGAACCCTTTGGACTGAGAACCAACAACACCAGACAACAACCATAGAAAACATACATGGCAGCACTTCCCAGAATTTAATACAGATATGGAAGTATGGAGAGTAAAACAAACATACAAGACTGAAGCTAGGGAATCAGAGATAGCAATCTATAATGAAGACAACTACAGAACAAAAATAGGGGCAAGTATAGTTACAGAATATCAAATGTTGAGGAAGTCAAGTAGATTTCCATATATTACAGACTTTTAATTTGGGAACAAAATGAATAAATTACTGAATAACTTCAAAGAAATGTAATGAACCTTCACATCAAATCAAGAAAAGGAAAATGCATGAAGAGTTTGTAAACATTAAAACTATTAAGAAAACACAAAAAATGAACTCATCACAGGAAAGTATTTAAAACAGAAACCCCCAGCATGACAAGAAAACAACAAAATGACTGCAATCAATTCATTTTCTGTTATTAAGTGCCATAGAGTCAGTTCCTACTCAGAGTGACCCTGTATAGGAGTGACTGGTGAGCTTGAACTACTGACCGTGAAGTTCAAATTTACTTTGCTTTCCAATGCTTATCCTGCAGTGCCAGATCATTAAATACACTAAACAATGAATTTGCCACACCAGTCATGAGACAGAATAGCAGAATGAATAAAATGGGATTCTTCAATATGATATCTACAAGAGACATACCTCACACTCAAAATCAAACATTAAAAATTAAAGAAGAAAAAAAATTATCAAGCTAATGGCAATAAAAAATGAGCCAGAGTGTCAATATTAATCTCATAAAATGGACTTTAAGGCAAAAAACAGAATAAGAGACAGGGAAGAACATTATCTCATGATTAAAGAGTCAATTAAACAAGCAGATATAACCACAGTAAATATCTTTGCTCCTAATGAAAGAGCTTCAAAATACATGAATCAAACTAATAAAATTAAAGAAAGAAATAGGTAACTCTACAGTAGTGGTGGTGGTGGTGGAGTTGGTTCCAACTCATAGCAACACTATATAGGGTTTCCAAGTCTTTAAATCTTTACAAGAGCAGAAAGCCTTATTGTTCTCCCATAGAACAGCTGGTAGTTTCGAACTGCTGACCTTGAGGATAGCAGCATGACTTGAGATTTTAATACAAAACTATCAAAAAAGGATAGACCAAAAAAACTCAACGAAGATAAGAACAAAACACAATCAGTGAACTTGACCTCATAGATTCATACAGAGCACACAACCCAACAAAAGCCCAATAAACATTCTTTTCCACTGCATATGGATCATTCTCTATAATAGACCATCGTTAGGCCATAAAGTAAGTCTCAATAAATTTTAAAATATCAAAATACTACAAACAGTTTTCTCAAATCAAACAAGTTTAAAACTATAAATCAAAAATAGGAAGCTCAAGGAAACTAAACAAAATACATGGAAAATGAATAATATCCTGTTTAAAAGTCAACTGGTTAATATAACAAATAAATGAAATAAATTTATTGAGGCAAATGAGAATGAAAATGCAACATCCCAAAACCTTTATGTCAGAGTAAAAGCAATGCTTAGATGGTAATTTATAGCAATAAATGCAAATGTCTTAAAAGAAAGAAAACCAAAATCAACACATTAGCACAACAATAATTAGAAAAAGACCAGAATAGTAAACCTACAGTCACCTGAAGAAAAAAAAAAAATATTAGAGCAGAGAAAAATTAATTAGAAAACAATAGAAAGTATCAACAACACAGGAAGCTGGGTTTTTTAAAGGATTAATAAAATTGGCAAATCTAACAAAAAGAAAGCAGTAAAAAAAATGCAAATAACATGCATAAGAAACTATAACATCACAACAGAATCAACAGAAATAAGGATAACAATACTATGAAGACTTGTACTACAAAAAATTTTGAAAATCTGAAAGAAATGGATAGATTTTTAGAAAAGCACAACTTACATAAACTATCACAGAGTGAAGGAGAAAACTTCAACAGAAATATAACCAAAAAAATAATAATAATTGATTAGATCACTAAAAAACTCCCAATGAAAAGAAGTCCAGGCCCAGATGGCTTTACTGGTGAGTTTTACAAAGCATTCAGAGAGGAGCTGACACCAATTTTACTAAAACTATTCCAAAACAGAATGGAGCTCTGGTAGTGTAGT